ATACCCTGCATGGGAGTCAGGACTGGCTTGTATTTTTGGTTCATACTGTTAAACACTGAGAAACCTGATAAATTATGAGTTAAAATGGCTCTTTTGTCCTTTAAATTTAAGAGCAAACTATGGAGGGAGGCCTTTACAGATTGAATGCTTAAAATAATACCTTCAGGGGTTTTATTTTTTTTTAAACTTGGTTTGCCAAAAACTCTTACTAAGACTTTTTGCACTGATCTTGGACAAGAAACCATTGCAAAATACCACATTCTCCTTAGATGATAACATTGTTTCCTGCCCTGCTCTAATACCAGCCTATTGCCTCAATTCCTGGGATTGCTTCAGTCGTACGTTTGCGTTCTCCACTGGGCTGGACTTTGACACTTCCTACTGCTTTTGGGGGCCTGGCTGAAACTGCTCCAAGGCTGGAGGCATCACAGCTCAATGTTTGCTTGCTCCTCTGGACCTAAATCTGTGTTCCCATCTGATAATCCTGACCAGATCCCATCCCTTTACCTCCAGAGAGCCAGCTGGCATATGTAAATCCAACCAACTGGATTTATAATTGCCACATGGAAGTGGCAAGTGCCAAAGCTGCATCCCTCAGCTATCCCCCAGGAGCGTCACTGAGCTCTGGAGTTCAGCTCCTCACAGATAACACAGTACCTTCTGCAGACAGATGGGCTTTGATTTCAGAACACCCTGCTGAGAGACTGGTGGCTCTGGTTGTGTCTGGAGCAGATGTATCTGCCTGGAGTCCTGTGTTAGCTGTTACCCCACCCCCCAGATACCTGATTTCTGCCTCTGTTGCCACTTCAATGTTCCTTTCAGACCAACGTGATCCAAAATCCACCAGGCATGTTGGGGTGGGCTCTGTAGGGACGGTGTTTTGCAAACAAAGCTGGTGTCAGACAGAAGGTTGGTGAGCCTCCCTGAGTGTGCTGTGGTGACCCTGTCATTCCTGTTAGCCATTGTCCCCATGTGGTGCCATGGACCTCAGCCTGGCTTTCCTAGCCCTGTGTGATGCAGTAAACCAGCATCTCCTCTCAGCAGAGGACAGGAAACTGGCCTGACTACAGGCAGAGGCACAACCAAAAACTGCCCCTCTTCCCAGCTCCTGTGTCCCTGCAGGGGCTGGGAGGGTTTTCTCCTCGCAGGTTTCTGTCATATGGAGCACATCAGCTCCGTGTGCTGTTTACTGCCTCAGCTGCTCCAGAAATATTTCACAGGGGAAAAGCTCTTGGCCAGGGCGAGGTTGAATTTTCCAGAGTCTGTTCCCACTGGGGTTTCACTGCTTGCAACCTTTAGTGTGGTTATTTTCTTTCTCTCCCTGAGCCCAGGCCTCTGTTGCCTTAATTAGCTGACTGTGGATGTAACCTTGCTTGATACATGATGGTTTTGATGGGGAAATGTGAGCAATGGAGGTGGTGAGTAGAGATGCTCAGGGATAGTGGCTTTGGTCTGTGGAAAAAATTTAAGAGTTACTGTCTTTTTTTCCTCTCTTTCCTGAACCTGGATACAAACTCAAAATTTCCCATCTCAAAACCCCATATAGCAAAACAAGAGCTTTCAGATCCCAACACTCATCCTCACTTCAAATAAAAACCTTAGCTCTCTTTATAACCTGCATTTAAACAAAGATTCTTATAAATACCCCAGAGAACTCCTCATAACTTGTTACTTTAAAAATGTCAAAATAGGAATTTCAAAGCTTTTTTTTTCCCCATTCAGTGTTTAACAAAAATATTTCAGTGCATTTGTTGAATTATGTGTTTGTTTAAAATAGGAGATTTCTTTGCATATATGTTCTTGCTGGCGTGTCCCCAGCGGGCTGTGGGGACAGTTCAGTGTGGGGGCTCCCAGTGTGACCCCCGACCTGGACAAAGGCAGCCAGGTTCCTGTGTCCACTCAGAGATGGTCCCTCCACTGCTCTGTACTCACTGGAACAGCTGAGAGAAGATGCAGGGCTGAGCTGCTCTCCTCGTGTCTCTGTCCCGTGCAGCTGAGCCTGTCCCAGGGATGTCACTCACTCCCTGGAGTGTGGCAGATGGCTCACTCCAGGATCCTGCTGCCGCTCAGCTGGGATTAGCACCAAATCCCCATCTCAGAGAGGGAAGAGCAAAAAGCATCAGTGTCCTCCTAGCTGGACTGGCAAGGTGCTTCCCACCCAGCCTTGCTCTCTGCATAACCCCTGCCTTTGCCTTCTGATGTGACCAGTGCAGGAAGGATTAGAGACATTCCTGTAACTGTTCCAAAATAACAGATGTTCCCAGCAGTGGGAATCTCCTCTACCCTGTGTGGGAGCAACATTCTGTACAGCCTCAGCTCGGTGTTGGTTGTACCTCCAGTCTGTAATTTCCACAAGGAAATGGAGATAATGGCAGCTTAGGAGACCCCCAAGTATGTTTGGGTCCAAAATAAGAAATATTAGAGGGGTGACGTGTGGGCAGACATTCATCCTGGTCTGTGCAACATAACCATGGTTGCCACCTTTAATTCTGGCATGCCCCACACAAAGTCAGCGTGGTTTATCCAAATCTCTGCCAGGGTGAGGAGCTGGGTCCCTTTCTGCTTTATAAGTAGGGAACAAAAGTGAAACTGTGCTATGTCCTGCTGCCAGGACCTGGTGGCTGTGTCCTGGCAGGAGTGTGAGGAGCAGGCCCAGGAGGTCATGCAGCTTTTCTTGGTGTGTTTTCCTTGTGCTTCCTTCTCAAGGCTGGCAGGAACAGACACCCCGGCAGGCCAGGTGTCCACAGGTATCTATCAGCCCCAAGCCTCTTCCAGCCTGGCTCTGTTGGCTGTTGCTCAGTTTGCAGCCTCTCACATGAGGGGTTTGGAGATGCCTGAGAGCCCCAGCTGTGGTGAAACCCAGCTTCCCTTGGCACGTGGGCAGACCCCTTGTCACACACCACGATGCATTTGCAGAGAACGTGGTGAATCGCTGGGGTAGCTGAGGTGGTCTGGAGAGAGCTTCCCAGGTCTGTGGCTTCCCCTTCCTAAGGTCAAACACAAGGCCCAAAGTGAGTGGTCCTTTGCCTGTCTACAGCCACAGGAGGTATTGCTAACAGCTTCCTTCACTGTTTCCTCATCCCCTTTCCCACCACTTTTCCCTTTCTTGCCTTCAGCAAGCTCTCCACAGCGGAGGCTTTGGGGAGCCCCCAAGGAGGGAGCAGGACAGTTTGCTGATGTATGTGTGGCAGCTCTTGCTTCAGAGCAAAGAGGCAGCTGCCCTTGGATACCAGGATGCCCAGGAGTTTCCATGGAACTCAGATTTTACAGAGCATTCTGAATTGGAAGGCACCTACAAGGATTGTCAAGTCCAACTCCTGTGTGAAAGTCCCATAGAGGGAACAAACCCACCTTGGTGGATTATCAACACCATGCTCTGACCAGCTGAGCTAATTCAGGGTCATGTGTGATAGCCAGCTGGAAAGGGAGAAACTGATCCCAGTTGATTTACAGCGGTAGTATGCTTTGTTCTTTGAGCTTTATATGTGACTTTATGGATTTTTTCAGATATATAAAATATTTGGTTGGGTGGAATAGTTATATAACATTTATTTTCTATCTTTCCAGATACAGAGTAGGCTTTTTCTATAGGCAGTTGTTTTCTAAAATCTAAGGATACATTAATGAAGATGCATTACACTGGTATTTATACCTACCCCTTTCACCACAGTGGTTTCAGGGTGGTTGAACCATCATAGACCAAAATAATTGTGAGGGTCTGAAATGTCTGTGGAAAGCAATTTTTTTCCATCAAGTACTATAACCTATATTTTGGCTGAGTTCAGGATCCTGTTTTCCATTGTTGGTCCCTCTCATCTTTTAATCAGAGCCATCTAGTGAAGAACAGAACTATGCTTATTTCAGAATAATTGACTGTGATTAAGTAGATGTTTCCTCTCAGTGGAAGGTAACTAATTACATCTGTGTGTGAAGGTCCCTATCGTCCTCTTAAAGAGTATCCAGCTGAGGTTTGTGTTTCTATCAGCCCCCACACCCAAACCTGGTCCATCCCTGAAGGGGGCCACTGATAGCACTGGCAGTTTCAGAGACAGTTCCAGGAGATGCTGTTACACATATAGAGAAACTCTGCTCTAAACTCCCTTCCACATAGAAAGAATGGTCTTTATTTGCCACAAGGAGCTGCTGTGAGAGTGGATTAGTTAATGTTTCAACAATGTTTGGAAGTATTTATAGCATTAAACTAATCTTTATATCACTCAGTAAATAGCTGTTATTTCTTTATGGCAGGCTGCATATATGGGCTGTTATGGTGATGCAGCCAAAGGGGTTTTTGATATGTTTTTTCCCATTACAAATCAGGAAAATTAATTTCTTGGGTGCTTGTGAAATTTCTGCAATCAAATCAGGAGGGGAGATAGGATGGAAAATATGAAATGAAGTTTCTTGCCCTGTTTTGCAGAAAATAATTGGTGAGGGGGAGCAAAGTGAGGCTTCAAGGGGAAGTGGAATTGCTGTAGTCAGGAGGTGCATGTGTTCCAGCTCTGTTCACTGGCTTCTCCCAGTCACATCTTGGTAGCCAGAGTCACGAGGGTGAATTTTAGATACTGCAGCTGATTTCTTCTTCCTGGCAGCATTGAACTGTTACATCCTCTCCCTGCTTCCAGCTGTGTTTTTCCATCTTCTCCCTGGCACGGGTCCTGGTGCTTGGCAGGTCCTGTGCAGGGAAGGTGCACCTTGATAACCTGCCAGTAGCAGGTTTGCTCTATGTGGAGAGGTGGTTCAGAGCAGGCTCTGCTCAGCACCAGAGCTGTGGAAAAGAGGAAAAATGTGGGGGGACATGAGAGAAGGGACCAGCTCCTTTTGGCACCCTTTAGAATGGTTCACTCTACAGCTGTCGTTTATATTAAGACTAAAGATTTTTGATGTTTATGCACCTTTTCACTTAAGGGGAAAAGTAGTTTTAAGGCAGTCAAAGCTGAAAAAGTGCAAAATGAAAAGTTGATGCATTTACTGCATTACCTTTGATTCCATTCATGCAGAGAAAAAGCTTCTGGATAAGGCAAAAAGTTTTGCCTTGGGATTTTGACCCTCACTCCAGGTGAGGTGGAAGAAACTCAGTTCCTTGCAGATCCTTGCAGAGTAAATGATGAAAGTGAGCAGCGAAGGCGCAGTTTTGCTGAGATTGAAATCAACCAGGTGAGGAGCTGGGACATGGGAACGAGGAGAGGTGGGTGTGTTTGTGTGGCCCTGCCTGGGCAGTGCTGGCTGGGAGCTGCCTGGGGCTCTGGAGGAGCACAGCCCCATGGATTAGGGCTCCTTGGCTTTATCTCTGCTGATGAGCTCTGCCAATCTCACGTTCCTTTGGTCTCAGCAGTTTGCCATCCCTGCTCGTGCAGAGGGTGCTGGATGCTGGCAGGGCCATCTGTCAAACTGCCTGAGGAGCTGGGAGCAGAGGGTAATCCCTGGTGTTGCCGGGAGCCTGGAAGAGCAGAAAAACCGGAGGGAAGCTTGATGATGGGGTTAGAGCTGTTTCCTTAACTTGAACCATTGGATTGGCACTCCAAGTCCACAGTTCAAAAAAAGATTTCTGGGACAATGAAAACCAAAAGCTCAAAGAAAAACTATCAGGCACAAAAGGTGCTATTTCATAGTTAATAATTGTTTAAATTGATGTAATTGTTTAATTACATACACATATACACAGCTCAGAGCTGGGAGATCTCTAACCCTCCTAGACCGTGGCCCAGAGAGGCTCTACTCCTTCACCTGCAGGACAAACCTGTGGCTCCCTTGGAACAATGAGACCTTGTCCTGCCAGCTACTGCCTGTCCTGTGTGAAGCAGACCCTCTCACCTTGCACAAGGACTGTCACAGGTCACTTCAACGAGCCAGGGTTGTTTGCATATGGGGACATCTGCCAGAAATGCAGTGCAGGTAGGGACCTGAATGAAAACAGAGAAATGAGATGTCACAGGATGTACCAGAGCTGGCAAAGGTCAGTCTCTCTCTGCTGTGTCCCATTGTTGTTTGCTCCTATGCCTGGCTGACCAAGAGGAGGGACACAGCATAAGTTCACTGTGCAGTGACAGAGCTCTTGGCTGGCCTGAAATTGGAGGAACTCCTCTGACACCCAAATGAACACAAGGAATTTGTCAATAAGCTCTCATCTGCCTTGGAGAGCAGATTAGTAGCATCTGCTGAGAGTCCTGATTACCCCTTTTTCCCTGCCAAATTTTTTGTGGTTGTCAGCTCAACACAGGTTTGTCATATAAGATTTGGAGTCTCCATGTGCTGATGCTGCTCCAAATGAGAGATGAGGACACAGTTACATTCTTGTTCTCCACAATGGGCAGCCCTGTGAATCCAAATCTGCTCTAGCTACCAAGAGGAAAGACAGTGGATTCAGGGGACTTTGAGGAAGATCTGTGTTTCTCCCTGGTGCTGAACAGGCTGGAGATGAGTAGGCTGTGATTTGGGTTGGTGCTGTTTTGCTTGGTTGTCTATATCAGAGGAAACCATCCTTGTGGTCAGGTTTAGGTGGCTCTCTTGAGTTTTGGTGGAAAGAAGGCAGGCAAACTATGTTCTGGGGCTTCCTGATCCAAGGTCTGTTTAGGGACCCTGAGATTGCTGCTCTCTTCTGCCCCAGGAGAAAGAGGCTTTCTCTTTCAACAGTAAGATGCTTGTTTCCTACACAGGATCAAGTAATACGAAATCCCACAATGCAGGTACTGTACTGCTTTTTTCTCAGGTACAAGCTCTTTCTTCAGGTTTTGTTTTTAATTTTTGTACCTTCTTTCCTCTAAATCCTTCAGAACTGTATCAAATATCTCCTTGAATGGCACATTTCTGAGCATGTTTCTTACATTTCTTGTGCACAGGAATTTCTTCCAGGCTTTGTGAAGTCCTCTTTGTTAGAATGAAATGCAGAAGAGCCAGATGGTTTGGCCACAGTCCAGTTACCTAAGAAACATAGCACCAGCACCCTATCTGAAACTATTTCCTCTAAAGATCACGCTCGGCCTGCTTTGTTCTAATAACCGGCTTAAAAGTCAACATTGAGCTGTCAGTACCTATTTTTTCCTCCATAATTAATCTACAAAGTTCAACCTGGAATCAATAAAAATGACCTCATGGCTTTTTTTGTTTTGTTTTTTTGTTTTTTTTAATCATTCCTCAAACAATGTTTCCCCACACAACTTCTCCTTCATAGGTGTGTTGAATGGTGGCTCAGTGATCTTGGGGGATTTTTCCAACCTCAATGATTCTATTAATGTTATCTTTTCAATCTCAATTCACACTGGAATCAAAATCTGAGGTTTTTCTTCTGCAGAAAATCTAAGGAAATGCTTGGCTTGATTCAGTAGATACATTCTCGCTTCAGTTCAAATACTTTTCATGTTCTTTGTCTTTCAGATTGAATTATGCTACATTTAGAACCAGATTTTTTTGCCAACATTATTTTTTATAATATATTTTCTTAAAATACAAAGTGGGGAAAAAATAAAGCAATGTTGGGACATATATCTTTATGTCAGAGGGTACTGTCAGAGGGACAAAGGCACACTTATGGTCCCATGTGACAGGCAGAAATTTACCCCAGAGTCAGTACTCTACATTTATCCAGAGTCAGGTTTCTTCTGACATGGAGGATATAATTTAGCAACCGCTCAGAATCCTGCTCCAAGCTGAGTGCTCTACTATATTGACTTTTTTGGTAGTGAGATAAGAGCTGATTTTTCTTTCTGAACAAGGCTCTGATTGTGAGCTGCAAAGCTGGGTAGAAATCTGGCCCCATTGACTTCTGCAGTGTGACCTGGTGGTTGGCAGACCCTTAACTCTCAGGCATCTTTCTCTCTTCAGAGTTAAATGTGGCCAAGCAGGGCTTTTTTGGTCCCTTTGTGATAGCTCTTGCACAATCTCCTTGCTAAAGCAGTGTATCAAAATCAGCGGGTGAAATTGGACGCTTCCTCTGCAAATGGAAAATTTATTGTCCGCTCGTGCCTTTGTGCTGAAGTTCAGATCTGGGGTTTTAAAGCCCCTCCTTCCCCTGCCTATGTGGGAGTTTCCCCTAAAGATGTGGAATGTTTACTGCATACCAAGGGCAAGACATTATGCAGACACGAGGCTCACAACACCTACAATTTCTAAACCACATGTGGCCTGTGTGGATTTCCTTGTGCTGAATTCACATGGAAACACAAACACATGTGGCATTTTTGTTGCTTTTCTAGGAAATCACGGAGCACAGCCCTGCAAAATAATACTTCCTACTGTTGGATCCACTCTGTGAGAGGGGAGGTACTGCTTTAGTGTCCCAGGCTGCTGAAGCCTCATGCCAAGGTCTTGAGTCATTCACCCCCAATGTCTGACTTTCCAGGAAGGCAAATCCCAGTTTTAGAACCTATTGGGGACCAAAGAGCCCTGTGGGAAATAATAAAGGAAAGATCATCAAATGTTATCAGAACTTGGGGTTTTTTTTTAACTTGCCAGGAAATGTGTGATTAGAAATTGGAGAAACTGTGCTGTGTCAAGACAGCTGGAATAAAGCCAGCAGGATATGAAGTGGCTTCAGCCTGCTCTGAGGGATGTGAAGGGGTGAGGTACCACTCTTGACTGCCAGGTGAATACCAGCACATGTTGGTGATCCTCAGAGCTCCCTGATCTGCACTCAGGGTCTCTCAGGTTGGCAGCCAGCAGGATGGTGCTGCATGGTCCTTGGGGAAGAGGTGTGGATGTGAAGGCCTGGAGAGGGAGGAGGTTGCTGCAGAGAGATGTCCCTCTGTGCTGCCAGCATCAGCCTTCTGCCTTTCTGAGGAGGGAGATATCTTTTTTTTCCCCATTGCAGCTGATACAGCTGAAAAATACAGCAGTTCTCAGGGAAAGCAAAAGTCCTTTACTTTCCTTGGCACACATAGCAAGACCAAGAATGCTCAAGTCAGCATCCTACACCAAGAGTGGTAGTGGTGTATCCCCGGTTATTCTTTGGATGTATTGAACAAAATACATATGCACCACCAGCAGCTGCAGGACTCCACCCCAGAGATGGCTGCATTTCAGTGGTGAAATCACACTGGAATGTGCTTCTCATCCAAACATTAACCCCACTTAACTTAAAAAAACCCAAACAAACCGCACCAAGTTTGTCCAATCTGAGGACAATTTACTAGCCTGATTTTCTGTAGCAGAGGGACTTAAGTGTTCTTCTTGTGTCCCTGCTGACCCACCATCGCTCTTTGTCAGAGAGCTGGAAAGTTTGGTCATGCTGGTTTGGAGGAAAAGGCATCTAAGGAGAAGAGAGAGACAATTTGCTTCCTCTTCCCAAAAATCCACTTCTAAAAAGTTTACCGAAGGCATATACTTTGTGTGATTGACCTTTTGGTCATGCAAACATTTTAATGTCTTTTGTGGCTTGTTCCATGGCCTTTGCAACTTCAGCAGAGGTCTTCTGGTGGGGTTTCCTATCCCTTGGTGCGCCCTCAAACCCCTTCGCTCAATGTTCACTTCTAAGCTCGTATAACTGGCCTGTATTTCCACGTGCACAAGGAGAGTTCTTCACAAGAGCCCTGGAAATCCTGACTCCTACTCAAATGTCTTCCTGCTTGCCCTGGGAGTAATGTTCTACAGAGCTGGTACCTAGAGCAGAAGTGCAAGTGTCACCTTTAGTGACTTCAATGTGTTAATGGCTTGCACCACAAGACTGGAAATGTTTTCATATTGTGACACTGACTATGAATAAGAAGCTGGCATGTGGTTTGTGATACCCTGAACAGCTCCTGGCAAGGAACTGCATCCCTCTAAGCTTCTCTGGGGAACAAATGCAATGTCACCAGCTGCAGCTCAGGGCTTGGTCACACAGGGCATAAGTATTTCACTGGTGTAAGGGATACAAGTTACCAGATGGAGTTGCTTCATAGTTATATCAGGGAAGAATATGGGATATTGCTCCCAAGAATCCCACCATTCCAAAAGGTTCAGTTTGTTTTAGTCCACATTGTTATCTCTTCCAGGGTTATCTTCTGCACTTAGTCCCATTGCTACTAAAACCACTGAAAACCGAATTTCTGGATCAGCCCATTCCTGATTTTAAAAAGTAAATGAACAGTCTTTCACTAAATGCATCAGTTTCTCCACCTGGTTTGACTTGAGTTGCATTTTCCATCACCTGCAGTAGTGACAAAGGGCTGACACTGCTGATGGCTTTGGGACACATCAGGACAACTTAAGCCCTTCCCAGTGAATGATTTGAGAAATCATTGTTGTGTCTTTGCTTGCTCTATTTGGACTTCTTTTTCTGGCACTGATGTTTTGTAAACATGAGCTGTTAAGCACGTTGATGAAACTTTTACCCAGAATTTACATCTAATTTTGGAGAGGGCTTGAGCCAGAGCTAAGGGACACTGAGCTTCTTGGTATGACCACAAACAATATCCAAGAAGACACGAGGAATGTTGGTGATGTACTAAGTTCTCAGTGCTTTCAAAATAAAGGAAAACAGCAAGACCCTGCTAAGAATATGAAGGAAGAAGCAAAAAAACTTTAAATGGGGGCTTGAATTGGTGGCACAAATTTTTCTAGTGAGCTGTTAACTTCCTTGTTAACAAACTGGACTTGAGTCATAAGCAAGGTACATAGCCTAACCAAAACACTGTGGAATTCAGATACTTCAGCACTAGAAAGTCAACATCATATTAAAATGCACCATCTGATTAGGTGACAACTGCAATTTATTCCCCGGGAAATACATTTAATTAGTTGGAAGGAGTCAGAGTGTTTGATCTTCCAAGAAAAAAATGCTTCCAAGGGCTGGTAAATATGAATTCAGAAGAGGGATTTTGTGAGGGGTTCACAATTCATCTGTTCACTGAAACTTGTAAAAAATCATTGCAGCATTCAATTCTCTTGTGAGCCTTTGAATGTAATGAGTGCCCATTCCAGCCAGTGCTTCAGGTTCACATTTAACTGCAGTCAGCCCATTTTTCCTATCCAGCTCCTTCAGTTGCCAGAGATCTTGGAAAGATGATCCAGAATCAGTTCAGCAATACCACAGCTCTGTGGAAACCTGCACACCAGCTGTTGTCCACAGTGAGCTGGTGACACCGTGGTCACAGGCTCTCTGCAGTGTGATTTCAAGGAAGGAGGTTCCCTGTTCCTCTAACAATGTTGGTGGGTTTGGGGATCCATTTTCACAGCTGCAGCTGGTGTTTGGCACCTCTGGAAATGGATGATTTGGCACTTTTTCCAAATTCCCCTCCTTTCTGTGCCCAGCCTCCTATATGCATGAGGATATGATATCTGTGCCAGAGAATCCAATGCTGAGAGAGAATTGCCAGGCAGAGAATTTCCAGCTGTATTCTGCATAGCATGGAAACAGGGGGTTCAATCTGCAGCTCAGAGAGTGTATGGGATACCCACATACACATCCATGTACAGACATGGAACAAATCCTGATTTTGAGAAGCCTGGGACAACACTTGTACTTAGGAATGCTTTGTTATTTTTAAGCCACCTTTCCTACCCTCCCTTACAGTGCTTTAATGGCCATGATACAGGAATATATCTACTCCTTTAACCTGTTTTATCAGAACTTTGATTCAGTATCAGTTTTTTATTTCTTAATCCAGCCTTTGGTATTGAAGAGGGTAAACTCTCCCACTCCATATTTCATGGTCACAAAATAATAGATTTTAGTATCACTGCATCATAATCAAACCAACCAAACCTCCCCCAGTACAGTGCATCCACAACCCTGTTACAGCAGAAGTCTCTCATGGACAGAGGGAGAGATCATTTTGAGGTGAAAAATGCTCACCCAGCCTGTCTGCCACCAAGTGACTCAAAGTGTCCTTGCTTTCCTCCTTTGTATAAATCTCCAGCCCCTCACCCACATCTTCCCTATGTTAAATATTCCCCTTCCATTGGGAAGTAGTTCTGTGAGCATTTCTAGGAGGAAGGGACAGCTAATAACAGCATTAAACCTGACCTTCTGTGTGTGCCTGAGTCTGCTTTCTCCAAAGCCGTGCATAAATTAACATTCTGGCAATAAAACTGAGCCTGTTTAATTTTCTGTTTGACTAGAAACATTGATAAAATGTCATGATATTTGATTTCATCTTTGTCTATTTTTTGCCCCGGCTGAAT